AGAGGAGAAGGGGACGACAGAGGACGAGTTGGTTGGACAGTGTCACCAAAGCTACCAACATGAATTTGACCCAGCTCCAGGAGGCAGTGGAAGACAGGAGGGCCCGGCGCACTCTGGTCCATGGGGTCATGAAGAGTCAGACACGACTTAATGACTAAACGTCAATAATTCATTAAAACCAAAGCTTTTAATATAGGAGTACCAACATTTTAAATGAAATGGATAAGCACCAAGTAATCACAAAACACTTAGTGCAAAGTATCTAACACACTTAATTAGAAACTAAAAGTACAGAGTCAGAGTATTACAGTTGATCATTCATAGAAAAATAAATAGGAAATTAAGTTGTAGGAAAGAGAAGAACTTAGTGGCTGATGAAGCTGAGAGGCTGGCTTGGGTACAATATAATATCACTGTTTAAAGCTATTGCTGTGAAAGTCTGAACAGCCCATGATGGTGTCAGTCTCTGAAAGGGAAGAATGTTAACAAGAAATATTTTTAAATGTTTCTAAGATTTCCCTTCTTATGTAGGCTGTACACGCATTGCACATCGAGTTAAAAGTTTTACAATCCAATACTCTATGTAAGGAGGGCTGTGCCCTTTCTAAAAGGGCAATTAAAATAGTCATCATATCAGACAGTTTCACAAACTAACAGCATGTCAAAATATCTCCTTTGTCTTCTACCAGTTTCACTGAAGACCTTGTCCAGGTGGTCCCAACTTGGAAACATTCTCCGGAATATTTCAGTATGAAATTTTCATTTCCTTCTCCATCACAGGGAAGTAGCCTTTTAACAAAGTAAATTAGCTATATTAAAATTTCTCTCACTCTAGGGAACAGTCATCCAAAACTCTTGCACTTCACCATGATTACTGTGTGCTCCGTGTGCAGTAGTTTCACTGTGAACTCCCAACTGGCAACAACTCACCCACTTTCATAGCAAAGTCAGTTTAATGCCCTGCTAGCCTTGCGTACAAAACTAGCATTTGCTCTGTAATTACTGCCAATGAAACTCAAGCTTTATTCTTGTAACAAATGAATTTACCTGTCCAACCAACCAACCAGAGTATTATTTACCTTTGACAAGAAAATAAAAGCAGAAAAGAGGAAGGAAAGAAAGCACACATATTACTGCTCAGGGTGACTCTCTAGATCAGATGAGAAATGTAGACAGCTGCAAGCATTCTTTTGGGAATCCCACACTTGGGCTCATCTCAATCATTTAACATAATTTCCTGGACCAGTCATGTAGAAGCGACATAAGATGCACATTTTTAAAGCTAAAATTAAATCTTTGTGAACCGATAACTGGAGAAACAAGGATCGTACTGCCACGCTAATCTTTTATACTCATACAAAGGACAAGCATCCTGACTCTGTTTATTTCCCAAGCATATCAATTCAGAAATTTAAGCTTCTTCCACCCAAAATATTCATATTTTTTTCCGAATACATTTACAATCAAACCTAAATTAGGCATAAGCCATGCCACACTTCTCAAATGGGAGATGTTGGCAACCATTACTGAATAAATGCGCACACCACTATGAAGCAAGAACTTATTAAATGTAGAGGAAGACAAACAATTAGGGATGTGCCATTTGAATTTTCTGGACTCCAACTCTCAGAATTCTCCATAAAAAAAAAAGAACCCAGGTAAAACTCTGAGAGTTTCAGCCTACAAATCCACCTTCAGACACCTGTATTTTGATTGCCTGGAGTAGAGCCTACTCTTCTTAGGCTGCTTGACATTCTAGGCCTTAATTTCCTGCCACAATGCTTCCTGGGAGGAAGCAGTTGCAAAGTTTTCAAGGCACTGGAGTTCTTCAAAAGGTGCTCTCTACTGAGCTTAAAGTACAGCAAACCCGTCACTTTCAGAAATGATTGTCACAGTTTCCTCTCAGAAAGTATAGCATCAGGAAGTGAAGGCCCTCTACAGATACAGAGCAGACTAACAGAAAATGGCAGATGGAATCATAGTTAAGCAAAATCTCCATCAAATTTTATGTAGATTGCTAGTTTTATTTAGCATTCAGAATGCAGGTGTATGTCCTATATTTGGTCATACACATTCAGACCAATTAAGTTCAAAGATGTGACAAAATGTCACATTCAACGGGCTTAGAAGATCATGCATCATATCCAGCCGCAATATCCAGTCTTCAATCCCTTCTTCCCAAACAGAGAATCAATTCCAGCTTAGTTAGATACAAAACAAATGGGGGAGGGAGGAATTAAGACAATTTTGATATGTTGGCCAGAATACTACTGTGGTTTTATGTCAGTGTAAGCGTAGTTGTGTAAATCAGTGGTGGAGAATTGCCACTAATTAATAAATTGCCATTTATTAATAAGTAGTATTATTAAGTACAGTGGTGCCTCGCAAAACGGATGCCTCGCGGGACAAAAAACTCACAAGACGAATGGTTTTGGCGATGGGGCTGATGACTCACAAAACCAATGTTCCTATGGCCATGCTTCACAAGATGAATGTTTTCCGTTTTTTGTTCCTGCCTCATGTTTGCTGATTTTTAAATGTTTTTCTATGATGTTTAAAAAGTTAAAGTTTTTTTATTGAAAATTTTGAAATCATCTGCACAATATGTATGGCTTTAAAGAGCACTTAATAAACCCCTTGTAAACCAAATTTGACTTTGTTCTGACTTTTTTTGCCCATAGGAACGCATTAATTAGATTTCAAAGCATTTCTATGGGAAAACTCGTTTCGCAAGACAAATTTTTCGCAAGACGACATTAACCACGGAACAAATTAAATTTGTCTTGCGAGGAATCACTGTAATTACATGCATAGTGTGCACCTAGAAATGCAAGCAGAAACTTTTTCATCAATGGCCATTCATTACCACAGTTTACACCTTTACACTTATGCCAGTATAATTCCCCAGCAGGATTCTGACCACTGACAAAATAAACAGAACAACAAAGTACATTATGCACACACTCCACTGGTGAATCCATTGCCACCACTGCAGAGTAAAATCCACAGACCTCTGGAACTCAGGGCTTTTGAACCAGATGTCACAGGTCCAAAACCTGCTACCTCTATTTTACAAGTTAACCATGACAATGCTTAGCAGCAAGCCAGCTTTGCTTAACTACTTAGGATTTCTGCTCTTTAACACCCCCACCCCATCTGTTTTGTGCTTAATAACAGTGCTGCAGACTACACCGGAAATTCCTAAAGCAGTTTCCAAGATCCTAAATCTTGTGTCCATCTTGACTAGTACCTTCTTGGGATTTCTATCATGGAACTGTCTGTTGTGCAACTGGTCATGTAGTTTGTTGCATGTTAGGCATCCTTCAGTCTCGAAAGACTATGGTAGCGTGCTCTGTATGGAGGGCTTGGAACAGCGCCTAGTGTCTGTAATTACATGCATAGTGTGCACCTAGAAATGCAAGCAGAAACTTTTTCATCAATGGCCATTCATTACCACAGTTTACACCTTTACACTTATGCCAGTATAATTCCCCAGCAGGATTCTGACCACTGACAAAATAAACAGAACAACAAAGTACATTATGCACACACTCCACTGGTGAATCCATTGCCACCACTGCAGAGTAAAATCCACAGACCTCTGGAACTCAGGGCTTTTGAACCAGATGTCACAGGTCCAAAACCTGCTACCTCTATTTTACAAGTTAACCATGACAATGCTTAGCAGCAAGCCAGCTTTGCTTAACTACTTAGGATTTCTGCTCTTTAACACCCCCACCCCATCTGTTTTGTGCTTAATAACAGTGCTGCAGACTACACCGGAAATTCCTAAAGCAGTTTCCAAGATCCTAAATCTTGTGTCCATCTTGACTAGTACCTTCTTGGGATTTCTATCATGGAACTGTCCGTTGTGCAACTGGTCATGTAGTTTATTGCATAAACTAGCTGCATAAACACCTCACCAAACAGTGCAACTATTTGTGTAATGTTAGGTGAATGCATGGAAATCCCCACGGAATACTTCAGGTATTTAAGTAAAAACATATTAAATTCTGACCCACAATAAATTTCTTGAAATTGCTTTATTTATTTATTTAATTTATATGCCGCCCACACTACCCAAAGGTCTCTGCTTTGTGAAGGAGAGATAGAGAAAAAAGAGAAAGTGGAGAGTGAGCCATCCCCTCAACAAAAGACATCCACACATAATGAAGTTGTGAGAGTGAAAGAGGTATTAGGAAACAAAGGGTTGAAGGAAGAGGAAAAGATAAGGAGAGAAACAAGACAGGAAAAAACTGAGGTTTACTTAATAGAGGAGAGAGAGAGAGGGAGGAGGATGTGTAGCCCACATAATTAACTTGTAAACCGCCCAGAGAGTGCTTGAAGCACTATGGGGCGGTATATAAGCAGCACACTTTGCTTTTTTTGCTTTAATTATACCCGTATGGGAGGAAGATATAAAAGATCAGAGTGGGAGGAGACAATTAAGAATATTGGGAACATCAGAAAAGAGGGGGGGAAGGAGAAAAAGCCGAATATAATAGAATGAGAGGATTGTTAGAAGATTTTCCCAATCTAAAGACCGGAGGATTGTTGCCAGATCCGGACATCTCCAAAGGAAACGGGACACGCGTAGACTCCCTAGAATGGACAGTAGTGGTGTATCTGCGAGGACAAGGCTGTTGGAAGAAGGTGGTCCGACCAGTCTCCTCGTTCAACAGTCCACCACCGGAAGACAACTGGGCCAGACACCCATGCTATGGGACCATCTGCACAGTGAAGAGTACACCCCTGAGGAAACCCAACGATCGTGAATGGTTTGGACCAGCCCCTTCATAAATGATGTCAATTCAAAGACAAATTTGTTGTCCCCTCAATATGGGCCGCTGCCTGATATGAGAACCGGTAGAGGTGATCGTTGATACACCTGATGTTAAGTTCAATAAAACAGTTGATATTCAAAAGGAGATTCCCTCGTTATTTCCTGCCAAAAGAGAGGAACTGCCCCAGATATATGACGAATCTGATCACATACTTACTTGATTCATTCCGAGTAACATGTCTTTGAAGGAAGTCAACTATCTGTGCTAAAGCCTTCTTATTACAATGGGTTGACAACTCTTCTTCACATTCGTAACACCTAAAATAAATATTAACATTTTAACAACTAATCTTAATGCAATGAATAAAACCTTAATACTTAGACTCTCCAAAGCTGATTTCTTATATCACATGAATATACATGTGCTCCTGATTTCTAGAGATTTTATGTTTCCAGTCCAGACTCTTTCATACCTTGATCAGATAGAGCCATCTTCTCTTACTGCCAAATGTAATGCCCACTAATGCCACCGCTACTCTCTATAAAGTATTCACTAAAGTATCTATGATAGTAGAAATCACTGTTGAATATAATAACTCTTTTCCTGGCATGTCATATAAAGCAGTAGTACCCAACCTTTTTGGGACCGCAGACCGGTTGGGGGGGCGGCTCCGTGAGAGCGCGGGGGTGGCGTGCGAGCGCAACACACACCCCGCGTGAGCACGACACACCCCCTGCGTGAGTGCGACACACCCACCATGAGAATGACACGCTCCCTGCGTGAGCGCAACACGCCCCCCGTGAGCATGACACGGCCACCATGCGTGCAGACAGAGGGGCGGAGATCTGTCTCTGCAGCCCAGTTCCGACAAGCTCATGGACCCGCACTGGGACATGGACCGGGGGTTGGGGACCCCTAATCTGAAGTTATTAGTGTTACACTAAGGGTGGCCATGCCAGAAAATAATACAGTTTTAAGACTGTTGTATGGTACATCTATATAACATTCTGCTGAAGCTTGTTGTGGCCGATGTTTTATACAAATGATGCCAAATTCCCATTACTGTATTTTCTCTTACATTATGTACATTCTAAATGTTATTGAATAGGATTCTAAGGAACACACAAAAGAAAAAATCATGGTTGTTGCAATAGTACATTACATGTACAAACCATAAACATAATATGCAGCTTACCTCCACCCTACCCTGAAAACAATTTCCATAGATATCCATAGTTCATGTCACTAAAATTTACATGCCAGTCTTGTGCCATCTGATCTACTGGAAGTATCAGTTTCTTTTTAATCACCAAATTAAATTCTATAAATATCAGTACTGTACTATCCCAAAGAAGATTAATTTGTACAATGGTGCCTCGACTTACCAACGTCCCTACTTACGACCATTTCGAGTTACAACAAGCTCCGGCCACAAAATTTTGCTTCTACTTGCGACCGGAGCTTCTACTAACAAACAGGAAAAGGCAGGGGAAAAGATGGGAAATTCAGATTTCTAACTGTAGGTGGCGATGAGGCTGCTTCTTTGTAGCTCTTTTGCCTCAGCAGTTATAGAGTGTGCATTGGAGGAGGCTTGGGACTGCCTCGCTTCTGCTTCTGAGTGAATGTGTGTGTGTGTTTCCAAGGAGGCTTCAGGCTACCTGGTAAGGTAAGGTGCTGTTTTCTACTTCTTAAAAACTGTTTTGGGTGTTTTTGCAGCGTGGTTTTGGGCTGGGGGGTATAAGTTTCAATGCTGTGATGATCTTGGGGGGTTTGTTTATTTTTTTTGTCCCCCCCCATTTCCGATGGGTCTTGGGGGTTGTTGCTTTTTGGAGCGTTTTTTCCCATTTCTGATGGGCCTTGGGGGGTTTGTTTGTTTTTTGTTTCCCCCCCCATGTCTGATGGGTCTTGGTTGCTTTTTGGTTTTTTTCCCCATTTCCGATGGGTCCTGAGGGTTTTATTGCTTTTTCCTTTGTCTTCTTTGCATTTCCAACCTTCCCCCTTTGTTCTCTGTGCATTTTCGATCTGCTCCATTTGTTTTCTGTGCATTTCCAATGGGTTTTGCACGCTTGATTGCTTTTCTTTTTTTCCCCATTTCCGATGGGTCCTGAAGGTTTTATTGCTTTTTCCTTTGTCTTTGCATTTCCAACCTGCCCCCTTTGTTCTCTGTGCATTTTCGATCTGCTCCATTTGTTTTCTGTGCATTTCCAATGGGTTTTGCACGCTTGATTGCTTTTCTCCCCCCCCCCGGCCAGAAGGGATTAAGCACATTTCCAATAAATCTTGCATGATTTTATTTTTTGTGTGTGTGATTTTTTTCTTCGGCTGCAATGGATTAATTGCATTTCAATGCATTCCTATGGGAAATGGTGCTTCGACTTACAACCATTTTGAGTTACGTCCATCTTCTGGAATGGATTATGGTTATAAGTCGAGACACCACTGTACAGTAAAGTGTTGTTTTGTATCTTTAATTCACAGTAAGCATGCACAAAAATGTATAAAGCATAAGGCATTGTAGGTACACATACCAATGTACTACTAAGCAAGATGTCTGTCTTCTTGCACAAAAGCATTTAGTTCTCACTCTGTGTTTTTACTTCAAAACACAAACTAACTTACCATACAATCCATGTGCTGAGATTGATTACAATGCAATGAGTTTCTGCCAGTGCTGTTTGGAAATGCTTTAGGGAATGCTGGCCTTCTGAGTTTTGACTGCAACCCTGAAGTTCATTAACAAAACATTAAAACATAGTTATCCAAACTCCTATATTTTTCAGTAAAACTGTTGTATGTGTTTTATTCTACAAGAAAAAACCAAAGACTTTTTAGTTATTTTTCAAAAGACATTTCATAAGATTTCACCAAGCAAGATCTGACAAGTTATATTTTTCTTACCTGAATATCTTTCTTGCCCTCACCACACACAGAAAAGCAGAGGAAACCTTTCCATAGAAGCCAAGATGTTTGTCTCCCACACTGAGCCACTTTCATACCACATGTGACAGGACCATAGACATACATCCAGTTCACTATAATATACTTCTGCATTATCCCAGAAACATCCAGCAGTTTGTTTTGCTAATGTTTTCTACACACTGATCTATTCTGGCAATTCCTCAAAATAACCAAGCCAAAAGACTTAGGGAAGATCATGCTACTGGATATCTCTAATGAAGAACAAAAAAGTTACTGTGGACATCCCACAAAGGAAAATTCCAAACTGACTAACTCCTTATTGGCACCTGAGGTTCCACAAAATCAGTGAGAGAAAATACATTATGAGAGCTATAAGATATCTTTATTTACCTGCATGCCACATTTAAGGCATAGCCATATGTCAGAAGGCATTACAGGCTCGCCATCACATATTCTTCTTTCCTTTAAGCACTCTGAACATATTGACCACACACTTTGAGCTACTGCCCTCTTAACATTATGTACATCTACTGCCTGGCTTACATGCTGGCATGTCAGACCTAAAAAAGAAATTTTAAAATTAAAAGGTTTAAGATAGACAATTAATTGTTGGAGCAGACGTTTGTATGAAAATATGTTTGTACTGTACCTTGGGAATAAAGAGTAGAAATCACATGATTATGTGATTATCATTTAAGGCTGACTTTGTAGCCTAAAGATTTCTGAATTTTCATCGTTATACCCTTTCATTTTTCCCTCCATTCCCCCCAACATGCAAAAATAATATTACTGCAGTGGAATTCTAATCCACCACCCCCACCTCATTTCTTTCATAAAAAGAGATAGTTCTGTAAACTTCCTCAAGAATAGCTAAGATCCTTTCATATATGATCAGATCATAAATGTCTGTAACCATTTCTGGAGCAGAAGCCTTCCAATTAAACTAGCTATACCCAGTTAGAACAAATCTCCATGTCATGGGTTGAAGCTGCACATACAAAGCCTGATACTAAGGGCTGATTCCCTCTGTACCCAAAGATTTAGTAGCTACTGAGAATCCAGATAAATCACAATAAATGTTACATCCCTGCCTTTGGTGAAACAATTACCTGCAGGTGTCATCATAAGTAGGCTTTTGCAGCCCACATTAGTATGGGTTAGCAGAGTAGAAATGAGAGTATTCAGCTTCATGACATACGTTCATCAGTGTCAGAACACAAAAGATACAACATTTATTAGCGTAGTTAGCTACCATATACTCAGATTGGCTCTGATGGTTACCAGCTATGTCGTCCGAAGAGTCTTCATCCTGATTCTGATTTGACTTCCTGTGTCTCTTGGTTTTGTCATGGATAGGTTTTGAGCGATCTTTTACCCGCATTTGTTATTTGCTGAAAGAGGAATTAGTAAGATATTATATAAAGATTTGGCTAGAATAAGCAACTCTTACCATTCTGCATTACACTGGCATGCAAGTAATAGAAGAGCTATCCCCTAAGTACTACTAGAGACCCAACAAGACCCCTAGCAGTGTTGACAGTGGCTCCCAGTCATTTCTTTCAAGCCACACTCATGCTGTACTAACATCTCAACACACTGTGCAGTGACAATGAGCCTCCTATGAACTTTGCTGGAAAGTGAACATTGTCACAGCAGAATAGCTTCTGACTAGTCTATGGTAGGGATTAGTCATTGACACCCATGGGGCAAGGTATTTCTCCCAGAAAGAAGGCTGAACAACAGTGACCAGACCAGACTCACTGAGTGAATTTCAATCCCAAATGACAATTTGAATCCAGACATCTCTAGATCAAGTCCAACACTCTCTCCATTATTGTGTCCCACTGCCTCCATCACTATATTAAAAACATTATATATGAAAGAATTTCACCTCTTTTATGAAGTAATGAGCATCTGACAAATATTTAGCTCCATGAGTAATGTAAGACAAAGCCCCACAGACCATGAATAGTGGCAGAATTTGCTTCTCCCATGTCCAAAAATGACATGTTTACAACGAACATGAATTTGACCCAACTCCGGGAGGCAATGGAAGACAGGAGGGCCTGGCGTGCTTTGCTCCATGGGGTCACAAAGAGTCGGGCATGACTTAACGACTAAACAACAACAACAAATGTGCTGCATTTTCCCTTGCATTTCCTAACTACCTGTGGCATTTTGGATGCCCAGAACCAGATCAGCTGTCATCTAATTACTAGTTAAGACCACATTCATCATGACTAGCAATTGGACAATGTCATCAATCAGCAGATTCGATGTTTCAGTGCAGTGACAGCTCTGAAAGGATTTCAAGCATACAAGCACTTAATGCTTCCTGGAGCAGTAAAACAACCAGAACTACAGACTGGTAGTGGCAGCAACAGTTCTTTTATTCCCAACTGTCATTGGAAACTCTCAGTGTGTCATAACCATTATATCCTGTACTAGGGACATATTCCATGTTCCAGACATGATGGGCATCTCATATGAAAAGTTCTGCTTTTTCAAGAAGGTGGTGTTAGGAAACATTAAATTTCTCCTTGGGAATTATATTACAGGAGTTTGCAGAGATCTGTCAAAGGGACGACACCCCATTTGATGCCAAATACCAAGACTACCTTTCCCAATGGCTTCATATGCATGATTAACAAAACGGAGACAAGCTAGGATATCCTGCATGAAAACTCTCAGATTGAACAACGGTAATACAGTATAGCACCTTCTCCACTAGATTAGTAGGAACAGGTACAGTATTTGGGCACCAGCCTTCATCTTGCCTGGTCTAGGGGAAATAAAGCTTCTTCTGTAAGGATCTTCATAAGGTTTCTTTCAGTGAAGATGGAACATAATCTTCCCAGAAGGAAGTTTTTATATCATTAAAAAAAAGCTGTTTTGAATTACTGCTGTTCTTCATTACTTAACATGGTCTGACTCAATCATTTAGTCCACATTCCCAGATATCAAGAATTAAATTAAAACAAAGGGAATTTCAGAATATCTGCTATTGACAAGAACTGCAAGGACTCAAACTGGCAGTCTTTGTATCTGAGTGTGGCTGTCCCATTTGGCTGCAACCTGAGGGTTCAATCAGGCCCTGAGCTGATGCCAACCAAAAAGATCTACAAGAATTTACAAACAGACCATCTTACCATTCACCCCATGCACCCAAGGTGAGACTTAAAATTCCAGAAACCCAACTTACTAGATAACAAGCAAAATCCTCTTGCATAGCCATGTTGACATAATATCTAGTTATATCCACAGTAGCTACAACAGCACCAAGGCAGAAGTTCTATCTATGCAGTACTTCTGCTGGCATGTTGCAAAACAGTCACAATGGGAATTATGCATTCAAGCGCATAATCAAACTGTACAGTTCCCTGCTGCTAGGCCTAACACCTGGCACATTTACACAGACATAACTAATTCACCATGTATGGGTGTGAAAGCTGGACAATAAAGAAACCTGACAGGAAAAAAATTAATTCATTTCAAATGTGGTGGTAGAGGAGAGCTTTGCAGATATTCTGGACTGCCAGAAAGAAGAACAAGTGGGTCGTAGGTCAAATCAAGCCTGAACTATCTCTGGAAGCAAAAATGTAAAAATTGAGGCTATCTTGCTTTGGTACATCATAAGAAGCCAGAGTTGTCTGGAAAATGTAATAATGCTGGGAAAGGTTGAAGGCAGCAGGAAAAGAGGAAGACTAAATACAAGAGCCTGGAGCCTCGTGGCGCAGTGGTTAAAACGCTGTACTGCAGCTAAAACTGTGCTCACGACCTGGGGTTCAAATCCCCGGTGGCCGGCTCAAGGCTGACTCAGCCTTCCATCCTTCCGAGGTCGGTAAAATGAGTACCCAGCTTGCTGGGGGGGCAATGTGTAGCCTGTATAATGAAATTGTAAACTGCCCGGAGAGTGCTTGTAGCGCTATGGGGCGGTATATAAGTCCCCCCCCCCCAAAAAAGATGGACTGACTCCTAAAGGAAACTACCGGATTGAGTTTGCAAGAACTGAGCAGGACTGTTAAGGACAGGACATGTTGGAAATCACTCATTCATAGGGCCACCAGTCAGAAGCAACTCGATGGCACATAACAATACAACAAACTAATTTACACCTGCATGAACAGGATTTTGCCCATAAACCTATTCCTGAGAAAGTTGTGAAAATTAAACAGCCAAGAGACAGATCATCCATTATCTATTCAAAATGAGTATCTGGAATCTAGAATGAGACTATTAATATTTACTTCAGATGTCCCACAATTAGATGATGTAAGCCTATGACTGACATGATAGCTATGCATCTCTTAGAGCAACTTCAACATAAAAATTAAAACCACCTAACACAATAACACTAGTACAACATTCAGTGAAGGAGTTATGTTAGAAACTGGGTGACAAATACTCTTATACTTCACCATTTATAGAACAACATTCCAATGTTCACAGTAAACATTCTAAAAATCTCAGTATAAATCAGGATAAAATCATACTATGTGGAAGTTACACCATGGAAAAACTGGAACCGATAACTTCTCCACTGCACATGCTAACACAACTTCTATATTTCACTATCTATTTAGTTTTCTTCATCACAAAAATATTCAACAATCATACAACTAGCTGAACATTAAGGTCAGAAAGAAAAAAGGATGTTTGTTGACAATCCAAACTTACATGTTGCTTTTATAGTAAAGGAACCTACAGAGTTTCAAGAAAATGGGTTCAGATGCAAGGATCTGCTTACACCCTAAAGGGATACATACATTGTTTGATGAGGCAGTAGAATGTCAAACCGTGACGTGATTAGGACTGTTTCCCAGGAAGCCAGTAACTAACTGCTGACAGTGTAATATTATGTCACATTTTCCCTACACAGTAGGCTGTCCCAATTTGTTGTTTCTGACATATGTCAATCTCAAATAGAGAACAATTTGCCCTGCTTTGGACACTACCAGCAAAATCCAAGAGACAGATAGTGTGCTGCTGAACAACTTAAGGGAAAACAAATCTACAAAATACCAGCTCTGCAATATTTCCCGAAGAAATCTGACAAAATCTTTACAAGTCAAGTACATTACAAAGAAACTTCTGACGTTAACAAGGTGAAGCCTACTGGTGAGCCAGTTTCCTTTCCGCTCATGGTAGTGCTGACTATAACCTCTTTTTAAAACTTCATCTTGAAGCTGGAAAGAACGATCCGTAAGGAGCTAAAGTAAAGTACCCAACACCAATGTTCTGAAGTACCGGATTTCATTCATAATAGCAGACACCAGTGACTATTATTCAAGTTCTTGATCAAGTGTCAAGAATCATGTGGATAGGTGTCCTGGCGGACAGTGTTCACCTGGACTTCCAAACATGATTGATAAAGTCCCTCACCAAAGATCCCTGAGCAATTTTAAAGAGTCACAGGTTAGAGAGGAACAGTTAAAAGCAAAAAATAAGAACAAACTCTCCTAAAGGCTAAAACTTTGATTCTAAAGACATAAGAGAGGCTCTACTGAGATTTTTTTTAAAGAGGGGTTAAAGTCAACACTACCATGAGCAGAAAGAATACGGGCACACAGGAGTACCCAGATCTCCCTCTCCTCATTACACTCCATTGTGCTTCCTGGAAGGCCTTTCCTAAGGGTTGGCAGACTATATAAAACAGTTTCATATGTATACATATGTATATAACGTATGAAACTGTTTTATATGAAACATATATAAAAAAAGAGGAAGGAGTGTGTTGATCAAATAAACTGAATGTCAAAATAAATGCTAAGAATTTGTATTGAATCAAAGGAAAATATAATTGTACACACTTATTTACATCATCCTGTTTACCCTCCAGCATCAAAATATGGGGTAAAGGGCAAGGCACACATCACATGGAATCTACTGATGCAACAATGCAGAATATTCAGGTTTATAAAACTTGTTGGGGACCTGTACTTCAGAGGATGTTAAACTGATCTTTTTGTTATTAACATATATCATAATAAAACCCAAAATAGATGTATACTAAGGGAACAAAGTAAAACCTGTTTGAAATATTAAATACAAAAGAGAGGTGTGCAAATAAAATATAAAACACTCTACTAGCTGAAGATACCAAATACAGTAATACCTTTAACTGAACCAATTCCTATAATCCATGAAAATGGATTAAACTTGTTCTATACAAATTAAGAATATTGCTGCTTAACTTCACCAAAAAGAGGTAACCATTTTAAAAGATGGTTTCTGAAATGTGTTAGATACTTCACCAATGTAGACCGACACTAATAAAATCTCTCAAAACAAAAACACTAGAGGCAGTTTAGATATTGTGCAAATGCGAGAGGAGGGGCTTTGTTGCGGTGCTGCCAGTAGCTCCAGAGAAGAGCTCTCTCTGGAAAAACTGGAACTGTCCGGTCCGGGATCCCCTTTTTGAAATGGGGATCAAAGGAGAGTCTAGGAGAAGTCTCACTGAAGCAGATGGTGAGCAGCAGAAGGAGAAGAAAGGGATGCAAACCCGGACTTCTTCCCTCTGAAGAAATCACCCAGCACGGATCGGAGCGGGCGCCATATTTGGCACGGAGCCATGAGTAACCCTTTACCGTGGGAGAAGAGAACAACCAATATAAGCTTATATAACAACTAAGTAAGCTGAAGCCTTTGATTTATGAAACAGCCCCATTAAGCTGAAAATAAGAATGAAAATATTTGGCTGAAAGAAGAAAAGCAGCGGCGAGCCTATCTTATCAGTCTGCCTCAAAAGCGAAACTAACTTTCCTCCCCAAGTGAACTCTTAATATAGCAGACTGATTTCAAAGCTGAGAGAGTGAGACGGAAAAATAAATCTTATGTTTCTGGAAAAGAATCCCAGACGGTTCTAATACCATCGGACAGGACTTAAGATACTTGAGTTTCGTGTGAATGCAGTTTGGCTGGGACATATTTCTCTTTGCCTTTTCCTGGACTCTGTGAATTGTTAATAACTGAATCTGGTTGTTTTCTGAAGAAGAAAGAAGGAGCTGACGTGGTCGACTGGACTGAGGAGCATCAAGGGGTTAATGGAAAGATCATAAGACGGGCTTCAAGGACAACTATTGGACAGTTTGAGACTCTGTGATTGTTGTTTTGTTTGCAGGACTGCAAGTGAGACTGATAATAGAAGCCTGCTAAACTCTGGAGAAGAATAAATATTTGTGCCACGGTTCTATTTGATTTTGAATTTGCTGGGTTAAAAGTTGATTTTTATATTATGATATTTGGATAAAGATTAGAGGGAGATCTAAGGGGAGATTTATGACTAGGGGTTTGGATTGTTGATAAAATTGTGGAAACTGTTGAAGGATATATAAGGGGCGATCACTGTGGTTAAGGGCATAGTATTATTTATACAAACCCCATTCATTGGTAAGCCTGAGATGGCATCCAAAAATGTAAGACAACAAATGGAGACTTGGTCTGTTCAATCCCAAAGTTTTGGAACAGTGGTACAAGAAATAGAAAAGGAATGGCAGATTACTATGCAAAAGATAATAATAACAGGGTTTCAGCAAGTACATGAAGGTCTTAGCAAAATAGAAGATCTGATGAAAGTGACGAAAGAGTGAACATTAGATGCCAAACAAAACTTAAATGAAGCTGCACAAACTTTAGAACCGTCTTTACTGGGCATGACACCAGGTAACATAGATGGGATAGAGAGTTATCCAGTGACCTATGCAGCTTCCAAAATTAAAAAGCATTATGTTAAAAATCTCAAGAAAGAGACACCGAAAAAAGAGAATATTATTGTGAAAATATGGGAAGTGACAAAAATGGATATTCTGTCAGATGGGCTGAAAGACTGTTCAATTTAAAAGGAAACTGAGCAATGGGATGTATTGTATAAATGGCTGCAGTTACCAGATAGTGTTGGAGTAACATAGAATTAAACTAAAATTAAATGATACGATGAAAGCAGGAGGGTAATCAAACTGTGAAAAAGCAAAAAGTTGATTTATTATTGTAATATGAATTGATTGGATGATGGTATACTCTGTGTTCTCCTATCCCCCTATCCTTTTTCTCCCTCTTCCCTATTCCCCCTTACTTTTTGTATTCCCTACCCTGTCCTTAAATACTTTAAAAAATGTGCAAATGCTCCTTTCACTTTAGAATGGCAAGTTCACCAAAACAAATGGCCTTTCCAACAAGTTTGCAAACCTACTGAGAGCAGACAAAAGTCTAACAGGCTGTTCTCTCTCTCCATAGGATACACCTGACGTGCATATCATATTTTGCAGAAGGGGAAATTCTACTCAAATGAGATGAAATTCCAGGTAAACATGCAGAAGGTCAGTTCCAAACAAAACAATGAGAAAATATATGTATTTTTGTCTATGTTCAGGCAATCACAATGACCTGATCCCTTTATAGTAGTAAGAATGGAGCTAAAGCAGGTACTGTAGTTACAAATGCAAAATTATATACTGTATAGTGCACAGTCAAGCTTACACTCTTAAATTATGAACAAAAGCAAACTGTTCCCAATCAACCAAGAAACTTGATATGTTTGCACAACAGGGCACAGCTAACTGAATTCAGATTCCATGGTCCATAACTTATATCCTACAACTAATTTTCATTTCACACACCTACAATCCCAAGTTGCAAATAAACTCTTGAATAGCAAATACTAGCTCCTCACAACTCAAAGGTACCGTATTTCTCCGAAAAGAAGACAGGGTCTTATATTAATTTTTGCTCTGAAAACGCATTAGGGGTTTTTTTCAGGGGATGTTTTATTTTACAGTCATGTCATCTTCTGTTTGCTGCACAATGGTGGAGGGGGAGGTTTCACATAACTGGGGCTTATTTTGGGGGTAGGGCTTGTATTAAGAGCATCCTGAAAAACCATACTAGGGCTTATTTTCAGGTTAGGTCTTATTTTCGTGGAAACGGTATTTATGTGCAAACTGTCAGTTGGCATTATACACAGTTGTGATTTCAAGCATGCTTTACTTTCTACCTCGTTGTGTATTAACTCTGATCTAGTCCGGTAACAAGGAGCTCAGTGCAAGTACAGTATAGAGAGCATAAGTAACTCTGCAGCATCAACACAGAGCAAACCAATCACAATCCTGCTTACCCTCCCACCCACTACTTCAGTGTCAATGACAGAAATAACTGTCCACAAGGGAACAACAGGTCATTTATGCAGAACATCTTTTTTCTACACCCTGGGTTCTATACTTTTCTGTAGCTCAATGAAGAACTTGGGCCGCACAACGTTTATTTCAAAGCAAGACCGAAGATGTTCAGTGAGGCTTATTCGCATAAATCTGGAATAAGAAGGGCGTGCTTGACAGTAAACGGCAGGAACTCAATAACTCAAACCAACCTTCCTTCCTTCCTTCCTTCCTAATTGACGTCCCTAAGACGGAGCTGCCAAGGGCTCGAAAGAGCCGGCATGAGGTTCCACGAATGCTCCAAGGCTGAAGAGGAGGCCCCGGCCACACAAACTCCCAACGAGGCCACCGCTCACGAAGGCCAAGCTCAGGGGAAAGCTCCAGTCAGTCTCCAACCTTCCTTTGGGGCTCAGGCCTGAAGAGTGAAAAGCCGAGCTCCTCGTGGCTAGAAAAGGCTACTAGCCAGCCTAAGGAGGCCCACCGGAAAATCACCAAGCTCGCCTTTGTTGTTGTTGTTGTTGTCTAATCGTTAAGTCGTGTCCGACTCTTTGTGACCCCCTGGACCAGAGCACGCCAGGCCCTCCTGTCTTCCACCGCCTCCCGGAATTGGGTTGAATTCATGTTGGTAGCTCGCCTGACGTCCCACTAATCCCCCGGAAAGGTCCCGCATAATAACCCTCACGACCTCCTAGGAGCAAAGCCCCCGCTTCTCCCAGGGAAAACAATGAAGCCCCTCCCGTGCCAGCAGCCCCGAGAGGCCCTCCGCCCCGACCTCGCCCTCCTTTTTTCCTGCTTCCACACTCACCTCGCCCAGCCACGGCTTTGCCTGAACAGACAGCAAGCTGGAGAGGCGACGGAAAGAGGAGGAGCAGGAAGGGGCGAGCAGGGGCCTCTTTCCTCGCCGCCCGCCGCCGCCGCCTCGGCTTGTCCTGTCCCGCCTCCGCTCGCTCCGTAACGCGGTTGTAGTAGTACAGTAGTGGGTTGAACTCTGCGCGCACAGGCCCCGGCATTGGATCAATGACGGAACGACGCCTTTTGCTCCTTTTTAAACACTCAGTGTTTTAAGTTGCCCGCTTGTTCCTCGGAAACGCGAGCAAGCGGGAGGTCGTTCGAAGCGCAGGCTTCTGCACGCCAGCGTTCATTCACACGTCCTCATCCCGTTATGGTTTGGAATCCTGCGTTCTCCAGCCCTCACAATCGCGACTCAAAGTGCTCCTCACCTGATGGTGGTGGTGGTGGTAATAATGTTCTTGTACGTGAGCCACCACTTTTAGACAAGAACTGTACGGTCCCCTCGTGACTGTACGATGTCAGGGACCCAGATGAGAATACCCGCCTTCAGCCAAGTCAGAATTTGCTTTTCAAGAGCGGACGTTATTTCGCCCCCCCCCCCTTGGTGCAGTTTTTTAACTGGAGATGCCAGGGGTTGCACCTGAGATCTTCTCCATGCAAAGCATACACTTTGTCACTGAACGGACCTTCACCATTTCTTATCTGAGGCTATTCAATCTTCAGAAGATTTTGAGGAGTGTCCTCAAAACACCACAGCCTCAACAGGCTCACCTGGTGCATGCACACTGGTTTGCGCTGTTAGTTTATATAATGCGGCCTGTGGTATTTATATAGTTAGGCATGTTTTATCTCACCACAATTGTCTTGCATGAACTGAGCCTATAGTTACAGCACACCCAGCACTTTCAGGTACTGTAGTTATAATTCAATCACTGTTTTTAATTGGGGGGGGGGGGCTGTGATACTACAGTATTTCCATCTTTTTCTTTCTTGCAATCTTTCTAGTTTATTAAGAACATACATATTTATTGTGGCACATATATGGATTCCTTTAGGCCACAGGTAGACAAAATATTCCCGTAACTATTATTGAACTACAGTTCCCATCAGGCCGTTCCAACGTAAGGAATGAGGTTCAGTCCAATGACATCTCAAGGGCTCACAAGTTGTCCACTCTTTCTTTGGGCACATGAGATAAAAGGAATGCATGTGTGGGAATGTGCGCCATAACTTTCATGGTTCTTAGCATGTATTCATGTTAATGTTCTTGTGAGACTTGTTGCTGGGCAGAATAGACACAATGCCCTATTGGTCCAGCCAACTGACCGTTATGTTATATAGCTTACACCTCAATAAAAGGAGGTGCCAGGCATTGCTGGAGGATCAGCATCAGCACGAAGCAGTGAAGTGATCCTGAACTTCAGCCGATGACCCTGAGCACGCTTTGAACCTTATCACAAGACTGCAGTCTCTTCATTTTCAGACATCTCTCCCTGGGCCCTTTCAGGGATCTCTCCCTTCACCACAGTTTGCTGGAGCCGGATTCCGACATGCATGGGGGATATGGACTGAACGAGACAGAATATTGCTAGTCTATAAAACTAGAAGAGTCATTTCACACGCTAGCAAGGTTATGCACAAAATCCTACAAGATAAGCTTCAGCAGTATGTGGACCGAGAATTCCCAGAAGTATAAGCTGGATTTCGAAGGGGCAGAGGAACTAGAGACCAAATTGCTAACATGTGCTGGATTATGGAGAAAGCCAGAGAGTTCCAGAAAAACATCTATTTCTGTGTCATTGACTACGCAAAAGCCTTTGACTGTGTGGGCCACAGCAAACTATGGCAAGTTATTAAAGACATGGGAGTGCATGACCACCTCCTGAGAAATCTATACATGGGACAGGAAGCAACTTATATGCAGAATACATCATGCAAAAGGCTGGACTCGAGGAATCCCAAACTGGAATTAAGATTGCCAGAAGAAATATCAATAACCTCAGATATACAGATGATACCACTCTGATGGCAGAAACTGAGGAGGAATTAAAGAACCTCTTAATGAGGATGAAAGAGGAGAGAGCAAAAATTTGTCTGAAACTCAACATTAAAAAAACCTGAGATCATGGCCACTAGTCCCATCACCTCCTGGCAAATAGGATCAGGCCAAGAGCCCATCTAGTCCAGTCTCCTATATCTCACAGTGGCCCCACCAGATGCCTCTGGGAGCACATGAGACAACTAGACACCTGTCTCCTGATACCCCTCTTCTGCATCTGGCATTTGGAGGTACCTTCCTTACAAGAGGTAATATATATATTACCTTACAAGAGGTAATATATAGAAAAAGCGCTAGCCTTTTTCTCTCTGAATTTATTTAATCCCTTTTAAAGCTCTATGTAGTGTCATTCCAGAACTTTACATTATACTGTCATATTTTCAAGTTATCTGTAGAAAAGAATGCCATATGGATAGGCTGGCAGCCAGCAACTTGTGAACCAGTTCACATGCCAACTTAAATTTGTCATATACTTTCATCTGAAAAGATGCAGGATTTTTTAAAATTAAAACCAAGAAGAAAGTTAGTAATACATGTCCTCAAAATGCAACTGTTTAACTGAATAAATACATGAAATTGTTCTTCATCCTTGTTTCTTTAGACATTTACTAAGATCTCGGGGACTCTGATGGCAGAAAATTAGGAGAAATTAAAGAACCTCTGAATGAGGGTGAAAGAGGAGAGCACAA